TTGTACACAGCCTCTGAGATTTCCTGCAAGAAGTCCTGCTCCAACAGCTCCTTATCTCGTGCTGGGGACCCCAGACCTGGATGCAGTACTCCAGAGGAGGCCTCACAAAGGCAAAGCAGGAGGGGACAGTCACCTCCCTTGCCCTACTGCCATTCTTCAGTTGATGCAGCCCAGCATACTGTTGGTTTTCTGGGCTGCAAGTGCACACTGTTGGCTTGTGTCAAGCTTTTATTCCACCAGAACCCCCGAGTCCTTCTCCACAGGGCTACTCCCATCATCACACAGTCTGTTCTGGTGTTTGGGATTGCCTTGACCCAGAGACAACATTTTGTGCTTGGCCCTGTGAGGTTCACACAGGCCCATGTCTCAAGTCTTTCCACGTCTCTTTGGATGGCATCCCTTCCTCCTGTTTTGTCAGCTGCACCACTCAGCATGGCATCATCCACAAACTTGCTGAGGGTGCATTCAGTCTTACTGTTTATCACTGATAAAGATACTGAGCAGGACTGGTCACAAGACAGGCTTGAGAGACACCATTTGTCACTGATCTCCACCTGTGCAAGTAGGTATGCTGGCCCAGGGGGCCAGACTACCCTTTCATCTGTGCTTCTGCTTAACTGCTTTGCTCTGGAAGGAGCTAGAAATGTCAAATTCAAAGAGGAGCAGAAGTCTTTAGTGTGATGTCCTGCTGTGCATGTTATAGCACCTTCCATAGGTGATGTCAGGTTGAGGTTGCAGTTAGGAGATAGATGCAAAACAAAGCTGCTTTGGATCACAGCAAACTTTTACCAGCAGTAAGTGTGCCAGCTGTTGCTCACCCAGACTTGCATGTGTGAGGGTTATGTGTAAGGGTGAGCTGTCTGGTTACAGGTAGTTTTATGTTGCCTTCCACTAATTGCTGTAAGGTAAAGCGTTTGAAATATGTACTATAAAGATAAAGGAGCTATAATCGAAGCTTCAAAACCTCTCCTGCTTTGCAGATTTTGAACAGCTTTACCATGGTGTGTCAAGTGAGTGACAGAAGGACCTTTAAAGCAGCCGTTGTATGGGAAGGAAGAAGCAGAATGTGGGCAGAGAGCTGTGTCTGGCTTCTGGGGGAAGAATAAGGTGGTGTCTGCAGCAGACTGGGGGATGCAGGAAGGATTTGCATTCTTCTGCTCATCTAGCAAATGAAGGAGTGTTTATGGAAGCCTTAATGCAGCACATCTTTGTGAAACACATCCTCCTTCTTTCCAGTAAATGGGATCTTTGGTGTCAGTACCACCCTCTTTCCAGGTGGACACTGGCTTTCTTTTGGGCTAAGGCTGCTGGAAGGTTTCGTGGCACTACCTTGCCAGTTTTCTTGTCATTGCTGAAGAAAACCATTTTGCTCCACATAACTTGAAAAGAAGTTTCTCTGTGCAGAGAAAGTCTACAAAGTGCGTGCAGATATGGTGTTAGTTCGTGTTCCAGATAGATGTGCCTGAGAACTGAAGACAATTATGGAATGTGATGGCAAAATCCACCGCACTGCTGAGCCCATACGGCCAGTGGAAAATTGATAAATAGCTGGAAATGCTCTGCGTGTTCCCTATTACATTTATTAATATTAATATATGCTCAAGGAGCACCAGAAACACCAACTACAGGTACAGTTGAACATTTGTGCAGTTTTCATAAATAGTGGAAGCAGTGACATTAAACATATGCAGGAATCCCTATAGTTTATAAATATTTACAAATATTTATTTTGGCAAAAGCACCTTATTCAGATGTTCTGAGCTGTGCTCACTAATACAGTGTGTGTATTTGTCACTCGGCATGCTTCTCAAGTTGGGAGCTGAATTATTGGTCAATGCAAGGGATTTCCCTTGGTGTATCGCTTTGTGTTTCACAGATATTTAGATTTCATTGCAGTTCAGAAAAGCACACCACTTCAACTACGTGCAATTAGCACGCAAGCCTTGCAGGGATGGCATTGATTTCATTTACCAGCAAGAGAGACCAATTGCAGCGTGTGGCTCGTGAGCCAGATCGGACACAGTCATTAATAATTTTTATCAGAGCCACCTCTCAGTGAGCATCTCTTTCCATGAGCCGTCCAGATACGCATTGTTTTTTTCATTTACATTTCACTACAGATGTCAATGAAAGCACAGTTCCTCCTAAAGCATCATAATGTATGTAAACCATTGCGGGAAGCATAGCATGCAGAGCCTTGGAGACTGCAGATGGAGAGAAAAGGCTCCTGATTTCATAAAAATAACAAAACCTGTTTTAACATATTGTGCATTAAATATTGTTCATTTGCATACTTTCTGTGGCTAGGTTATAAAAGCCCACCATGTGGTGGACTTGTTGGAAGTCTGAAAAGATACTCTTTTTCCAAATGGAGATGTGTTAGTGGAAGCTGCTGCTTAATTATAAAACAAAAATAACTTGTTTTCTGCATTATTTTTTTTTTAACATGTGTCGTTGTTGTTTTTTTTTTTTTCTGTAGGTTTTCAGAGTCAGATTTTTTGTTGTTTCCTTAGAATACAATAGCATTAGGGAGGAAAGCATAGTGCAGTCACTGCAAGTTGTGCTAGCTCAGGCTCGCTGTTGTACAACAGTCTGGCTGCCTGGAGCCAGCAGCAGCAGGGACTCCTCAATCCGGAGCTTCCAGCAGATAGCCCAGCAGATTGTACAGTACCACTTGCATTATTTTTTTGCATCTTTATATAGAATTGTATAATTTTATGTACAGCGCAGCCACGGTTGAAACACTTGATAGTACAAATGCACAATACCGCAAGTTAAAATGAGAAATGGCTGTCAAATCATAAATAGAAAATGTGAAAGAGAAGGAAAAAAATCAGTGTTTTGGGTGTAGAAGTCTTGCATACACATGCACATACGCTGTCAGGGCTTGAGAAAGGATGGAGTGAGCCACACGCTTGGGGGGAGCAGGTTCCCTGGCACTATGGGTGGCATCGGAGCACAGACACCCATTAAGCCCAGGCTCAGAGAATCTCAGCGATGGCCAGAGCGTATGCAGCATTCCAGGTTTTGAATGCTAACGTTGCCAGCTTCAGATCAATCTGCTAATTTATAAGCTGCCAACGTAAAGAGTGCGGGCGAGTGCGAGGTGACAGGGGTGCCTGCATCCCTGGGGAGTTGAAGGGTAATTGGAGCAGCCTGGGGATTTGACTTCAGTGCCTGTCTTGCTGGGAGGGGTGCAGATGAAACTGGGAAGTGGCAGAGGAATAGCAGTGACCTCTCTTAGGATAAGATGGTAGTATCTTAGTGTCAGCTTTTTCTTAAGAAAAGAGCGATTTTCAGTGGAACTTGAGGTTTTTTAGGGGGAAGCACCGTTTGCGAGCCCTATGGAGAACGATTCACACCTTGCCAAGCTGAGAGCTGCTGAGACTTGTCATTTGTCACCTGCTTTTCTCAGCACAGCTCGCTGCTGGCCGACTGTCAGGGCACAGGGTGTTCTCTGATCACTGACAGGTATCACTGACAGGCCCCAAGGCCCCACAGCCTTGCACACCACCTCCAGTCCACTGATAAAACAGCCCCACGAGGGATGCTTGGGGCTGGGGTGGATCACTCCATGTGTCCCAGCAGGTTGGTGTGTGCATACGTCCATTAGGTGGTGGGATCTGGGGATCTGAGTGGAGACTGCAGGGCTGGATGGGGATCCTGAGCAGCTGCCTTGGTGGCAGTGGAGCTCATTATAGGCTTGGAGGGTTACCATGCAGTTTTAGGGAAGGAGTCATTTGGAAACTTCCTAACTGCCCCTTGTCGGATTGGATGTTAGGAGCAATTTCTTCTCAGAAAGAGCGATGAGGCAGCGGCACAGCTGCTCAGGGAGGTGATGTACCTGCAGGTGCTCAAGAGCCGTGGAGATGTGGCACTGAGGGACATGGTCAGTGGGCATGGTGGGGTGGTTTGGGGTTGGATGTGAGAAGATCTGAGAAGTCTTTTCCAACCAGAATGATTTTATGATTCCCCACCAAATGCTATGATGACCGTCCTTATCTTATACAAGAAGGCAAGCTGCCAAAAACCACCTTATCAAAATCAATTTTTCTTAGTTAAAAACAAACAAACAAGTGCCTGATCCCAGTTACCCATGTTGCTCACTGCTGGCTGTGTGAAGGCCTTGTGAAGAATCACGGTGGTAAAGCAGCCTTTGGCGTTTCAGCTCCTGAACACCCCATTTGATGAAAGCTTTGCAAATTTTGTCCTTAATTAAGCAGCCCATCTCTACTTCTTGCATGGATGTTGGAAGGGCTGGGGTGTACCTTTCGTTAGAGGCTATTGAAAGATGCTTTTCTAAGGAAGGAATTCTCTATAATTAAGCTTAGAAATGGGTGGTGATCCTTTCCTCGAGGACACATTTATCTCGGGTGTGAGGTCTGCACAGCAGACAGGAGGTGACCAGCATGTGATGAAATTAAAAGGCTGCAGTAGATGAGTTGGTCCATGGGAACTCCTCTCTGTTCACTGATAGAGAAGGACCTTTGGAGAAACCAGTAAAGTTGTGTAATTAAGGTTTATTCTGAAAAACATATGTGCAGTGGAACTGGTTTTGCAGAGGCAGTGTTGATGGTAGCATACTTTGGTTCCAGCACCTGAACATGAGCTCATATTCCTTCAGCAAGAGTGCATGTAAGATGTCATAATGGAGTTTTGCGATGGGGGGAAAACAAAAACCCAAGTGAAATAGCAGGGAAAAAAAAACAAAACAATCCAACTCTCAGGGTCAGAGACTTGTCCAGCAAAGCTGTGCAGTGGTTTCTGCTGTGTTAGGACAAGATCCACAGGTTTTGCCAGGGCAGCATTAAGTACTGCCCTGAATTAGAAAATGGAGCTGCACAAAGTGCCTGGAAGTGCTTCATTCCAGAAGGAAAATGCAGCCATTTTTCTTTCTATGGTTTAAACATGATTAGTGTCAACTGATGAGAAGTTCTGCTCTAGCACCGGGAGGTCTGACTGTGTTAATTTGCTGCTTTTCTCTCGTCCCTTCCCCGCAGCAGCAGCAGGAGATGCTGGCAATGAAGCATCAGCAGGAGCTACTGGAGCACCAGAGGAAGCTGGAGCAGCACCGGCAGGAGCAGGAGCTGGAGAAGCAGCACCGGGAGCAGAAACTTCAACAGCTGAAAAACAAGGAGAAAGGAAAGGAGAGTAAGTAGCAAAAGCTCACTTGGTTCAGTGATGACAGGTAGAGTAGATGGATGGAAGCCATAAAGCAGCTTCATAAAGCTGAAGAAACCTCCCTGATAGCCTTTCTACAGAGCTTCTCTGCACGGCAGCTTATGTAAACGTTTTGGAGGTATTGAGGGTAAAAGAGGAATTTATTTCTATGCTTTATCTTCATTTTTGTCTTTCTAAATGCCTTTTTAGCATTTTTCAAAAGGAAGCGTATCGTCTCTTTATTTGATTTAACATTTTCTGAAGTATTTTTGGCAGCTTTCCTAATGGAGGCAGAATATTAAAACCATAAAATACACCAGATGCACACTGCTTTTCTTTTTCTTTTCTTAATTTCACCCTTTTAAGTTGTAGGCGAGTTCTCAGTTTTTAGCTTTAAAGTGTTTTCATTCAGAAGCACTTCTTTCATGAGGTACAGACTGTGGTTGGCTTCCCCATGTGTTATTATGCACTTCATAAGATTCAGTAACATGATTATGGCCTCACAAATCCCCTTATCAAAGACACTTTGGTTACTTGTTCAGTTTTCTTTTAGAAGTGAATGGGAGGAAAAATACCTTGCGGAGTCGTATCAACTCATTAGGTCTCCATTCCTTGTGAGATAAGGAAGCCTGTGATGGAAGCAGCAGAGAGGGCTAAGGGTACCAGCAGAAGACATGCTGTTTGGGGACTAGAAATGAGATAAAGCTCTAAGAACAACTTTTCCAGCAGGAAGAAGCTGGGGTGTAGGAGGCTGCAAATATTTTCTGCAGGTTGAATTCCTCATTCCCTCTGTGTGCATCATGTGAGAACAGACTTTTGTTTAACCTGCATTCAAGTGAGGGAACTTGCAGACCTGCCCCAGTGTCTCAGCAAAGCAGTTCACAGGAGGTCCAACGTCTGTGTTGGGTTTTGTTTGGGTTTTCTGTGTTTAAGCTGTAGGAGAGAAACCAAAGGATCAGAATTTCCTTAAAAGAAGCAGTTGAACTGGGCTGTTTTCCCAAATAAAAACAATCAATCTGAACTGAGTGAGATCTGTAAGTCCTTCCACTTCATCCTGCTATTCTCATCAACTGCTTATACTGTATCAGTGTTTCAATGGATCCCTCTGCAAAATTGACATCTGGCTATTCTCATTAAGATAGTTTGCAATAAACAAAGGCTCCTGAGTGCCTGAGCACCTGAATCTGAAGCATCTGAAGCAACCTTTTGGTTGAAGCATAGGTGTAGAGGAAAGAGCAGAACTTGAGGGTGCTAAGTTGAGAATCCGTGGCTACAGTTTTATTTTTAAAATACTTTTATTTAAGAAGTACTACAGCATATAATTGCTATAGAAGCTTAGCTCTTAAGAGTATTTATCCTTCTCACATCAGAAAATTTTACAAAGTAATAGTTAACATTGTCCAAATCTGAAATATGAACAGTATGTGATAGTTGAAGAATGTAGTTTATTCTCCATCCTTCCTCCATCACTGTAAGCCAAAAGACATTGTTTTGTACTTTTTAGAAGGCAAATCACAAATAGAGTTAGCTTAACACAATATTAGTTCTTTGCTTTCTCATCTCAGGATCCTCGAGCTGTGCCTTATGAACTGGTGTCTGTTATCACAAAGCATATGATCAAAGCATGACTTCTAAGAGAAGAAGGAAAGTCTGTATGAGACTAAAGGTGCTTTTTGGGCGGGATAAGGAGTGATAGTCAGTTGTCCTGTCTTTCCACTGCTATGACTGAACCTAGAACCAGCTGTGTGCATCAGTGTTTCCAGACAGACCAAATCTGTCTTCCTGTCTCCCTCCTCCTGGGCAGGGACCATTCCATGCCTTTCTGCTCAGACAGCCTCAGGCTGGAGCTTTCTCCTACAAGCTGGCAGGCTGTGATCAACCTACACTATCATTAAGGGCTTTTTTTTGTTAGTTTCCATTTGTTCTGCTCCTCTCTTCTTGCACTGTGCAACCCCTTCCTTCGTGGGGGAGCTCGCTCCTGCTTCTGACCTTTATTCTCTTACCACCACCCATGCTTTATCCTACATACAGTTATAGTTCGATTCTGGGACAGCGTTTAACCTGTGTTCTTTCATTCCATATTACCCTCCTGTGGTCTGTCTCTTCTGGCTTCCTGCCCGTGGATTTATTCCATACACGTGGGCATTTGGCATCTGACTTCTGCTCTTGCCCTCGTTGCCTATTCCCTGCATGCTGACACACCACTATCTATGTGCCACCTTGTGCTTTTTTCCTTTTGCTTCCTCTTCTTGAATGTCTCCACTGGGTATTGCCAAGTAGTTCTGCCTGTATCCTATCACTACATATAAGATACATTAAAAATGAGTAAGATTTTTCCTCTCATCTTTCGACTCAAGGATCAGGAGCTGAACGATGGTCTGCTCAACATGACATCTTTGTCCACAGCTCCAGCATTGCTCAGGGTAGAGAAGATCTCCACGTTTTTATCCTGTTAGCATATGTGAGGCCCTTCAGCTGCTAGTTTAGGAGGAAGATGTGCCAAGGAAGCTTTTGGAAACCTCACAATCCAACAACGTTTGGCTTCAAATCCTCTAAATAATGTCAGATTTATCTAAAACCAGTAGAACACAACCATGTTTGAGTATTTTTAAGATGCTAATAGATCAAAGATGACACTTTGGAGAGATAAGGCCTTTATGTGTGAATTTGTCACCTATTCTGGTCTAGCCATGTTGCTCACAAACTCATAGGAATTTATCTCCAGCTCCTCAGTTGAACTTCCCACTGGGGTGCATGCCAAACCTACATTTTGTAGAACTAGTGAGGAATGCAGGCCTCCAAAAAAGTGAATTTTCAAGCTTTTCAACTCTGCTTCAGTGGTTGAGCAATATTACATTTTCAGGCAGTGCTTTATAGAATTATTGCAGTTTCCTTCTCTTGTGGAGATATTAAAAAAAATAAAATTGTTTCCCCAGCCTGTCAAATGGCACCGTGTTGTTGTGTAGGATCCAGGAGACAAAAGATCACCCTGTCGTATTTTAGGTATGCCAGCAGAGCAGACGATTTTCCTGGCCTTTTCATTTACTTGTAGCCCAGTTATTTTCCTTTTGGAATTCTTGGTTTACGCGGTGGTGTAGATGAACCATAATTTTCCACATGTTCTGCTTGCCAAACTTTCTATGCATTACTCCATCAGGAACTCTGCCTGCGAATCTGTTCTGTCAACTGAATGATAATTTTAATCCATCACCACAGTAAAACAGACTGGTCTCTATTGTGGAGGAAATAATGATCAGAAATTATACAGTTGACATTTTAAGTCTACGCTACGAAATTACTGACTTTTTTTCTTGAAATGTTAGATTTTCTATTTGAAGAAATAGATTGCACACTTGTAAGTGAATTGGAATATTATGTATGTCTTATTGTACACAGATACTTCTGAACAAAGAAGTCCTTATTTACAAGCTTTTTCAAGGCAGCATCTACATATGAGACATTCGTCTCGTTCCCCTTCTGCTTGCAGATGTGACATTTAAAAACTTGAGTGTACACAAGACCCTTTTTCTTAAATACCTTTGATTAAAAGAAAGCTGCAATACCTCGTACAGCGCTTTATTCTAAGTTAACTTTTATGCAAGTGTAAAAATCCTCTTCAGAGATCTTTTGTAGTAAAATGATAAATCTCTGATTAGATCTCCGCTTTCAAACATCCGCTGCGATTATATGCAAAGCTGAAGGGGTGAAAAAAGAGAGCTGCTTACTGGAGGCACTTTGTTCTTCTCTTTGAAACAGAAGCTCCTCTATTGGACTGAAAAATCGAGCGTTTAATTCTGAATCCTTTTAGAAATTTTCATTCTTAAAGTATGTATTTTTTATTTGCTACAGCTTTTGTCCAAAGTCAGTTGATTAAATATCTTGAATTTTTGTTCTTGACTTGTCAGGTGCAGTGGCAAGCACAGAAGTAAAGATGAAATTACAAGAATTTGTTTTAAATAAGAAGAAAGCTTTGGCACACCGGAATCTCAACCACTGCATTTCCAGTGACCCTCGCTTCTGGTATGGGTAAGTGGTGCTGGGCTTATCTGTATGATTCAGCCTGTGCCACCTTTTCTCACAATTGCTGCAGCTTGGGGAATAGTCCTGATGTATTTACTGATCAACCATAACACTGATAGAACTAGAGTTCGAATTTGATGAGTGACATAGTGAAAAGCATTTTTAAAGGGTTTCAAAGTGAATGTTTTTCCTGTCTTCAGTGGTATCACTGTATTTTTGTGAGTAGTGGTTTCTACTGACATCTTGAATCCGTGATTATTTAAACTAAGGGAGCCTGCTGTCAAGATTTGCCTTTATAAGTTCTTTAGTTTTGCACCAGGGTTTGATCCAGATAAGGATTATAAAACATGAACTTTCAGGAAATTAGGTTTTATGCTTAGTGAATTGCAACTCAGGATAGTTGAGCTAGCATTGCTTTTATTGCCTGCTGCTCATCTCAGTCTCTCAAAGCTGGAAGTTTTGTTTCCCTGTAAACTGCTGAAAACACGAAGTTCACCCTGTCTGTAATTCTGCTGATATCTACGTTTTCTACTGAAAATGCTCTGCTGTGGATATCCTAGAAAATCCAAGTGTCATGTGAAGTGAGAAGATAGCAGGTGTTCTTCTAATGACATAGAAGCAAAGAGTGATTTCTTCAATTACCTCTAATGCACCAAAGAGCCATGGGTGGCATTAGAAATGAGGTATAAGTTCCAGTTCTAGAAATCCACTTCTTTAACAAGAAATTTTGGAAATTTGATGTAATTTGAAAACATTCACTACTAAAACATTATAAAAATATCTATATGAAAAAAAAATAATAATAATGTGTTTGGAATATTGCTTTATTGACCGTAACATTGATGAAATTTTGAATGAGAAAATCCGAGAAAATTTTGCGGTGAAAATTGTTTTCAAGTTGAGAATCTGATATTATTTTCAGTCTTCAGCAATAAGCATTTATGTAGGGTTGATGAGGTCATTGTCAGCTGATGGTTCCAAATGCAAGAAACTAGGCTGAAATTAAATTGGAAAGATATCCCAGCTATGAGCCAGAACAGAAATGCTGAAGTGTAGTTGGCAGAAGATTCTAACGTTATTCTGCCAGGGGGAGATTGAGCAATTCTAATACATCTGTGAAAATCTCATCTGAGATTTGAAAATTGTGTGGCTGTGACGTTGGTTAAAGTGGTGAAATGTGGGTAGGGTGTGCAGAGGTAATGTTTAAGGCCTGCTAAGGTGGTGTGAAAGATAGTAGAAGAAATAGGAAAAAATGAATTTAAATCATGACAACATAAATATATATTTTAAAATAACTGATTTTCCACTATTCTTTCTTGAGACTCACAAAGAAATTTGGGGATTTTGGAAGCATTTGAAGGCATTGTGGCATTGTGCTCTTTTTTATTTTTTTAATTTATTTGTTTTAAGTACCTAACTTTTAATGCAGAAATTATTTTAGAATTAAGGCCAGTAAATAAATGCCTCCTTCCAAAATCTTTGCTCCTTTTGCCTTGGAGAAACCTCACCTAGAATTGTCAGCATAGATGAATTTAATCTGTTAGAAGAGAAGGCTGTGGATGCCCCATCCCTGCAGGCATTCAAGGCCAGGCTGGATGTGGCTCTGGGCAGCCTGGTCTGGTGGTTGGTGACCCTGCACACAGCAGGGGGTTGGAACTGGATGAGCATTGTGGGCCTTTTCAACCCAGGCCATTCTATGGTCTGTGATCTGTCATTAAAAGGGAAAAAAGAAGTTTGGGAGCGGTCTGCATGCCTTATATTTTACAGTTTAGAATTAACTGCCTTTTCACCAAGACGCCAGCGCTCGGCTGAGTCCAGGTCAGCGAATGGGGTATGCTGCAGGGACAGCTTTGGTGCAGTAACTTACTGAGCCCAGCTGTGCTTTGGGTTTCAGACTTCTTTCCTCACTTTGAGCAAATGCTGAGACCCTTCTGAACAAGGATACCTTCTTTAGAGTTCATTATCTTTAGGATTTTTTGTTATTAATCTGGTGCGTTTTCATCTGAACATCCCTTTCTTGTGGTGCCTCAGGGATGCAACAGGTAGAGCCAGCATGCTGACTGTTGCACGACAGGCTAAGCCCCTTTCTTAGGGGCTTACCATTCCCTCATATCCCCTCCATCTGTTCAGTAGCAAGGTTTGGTTTCCAACACAAGACATGGGGAGGGAAGAAGGAGCCTCAGAGGCCTCACAAATCTTTCCAAGGGCATGCTTCAGTGATGAGTTGCAGGCAGATGGGAGCTCATTTTGCCCAGCCTTTGAGGAGGGCAGCATGGCCGTGCAACTGCAGAAGGGAGTTCTAAGTGCAGCCCTTTGGTTGTTAAGGCACGAGCTGAAGATTTTTTTGTTTGTTTCTCTTCTATTTAAATTTAAAAGAAAAAAAAAAAAAAACACACACACAAAAAAGAGAAAGAAAACCTTTAAATTAATTATGTATTGCTATTTATTTGTATATCATCTCATAGGTTACCAATTCAGTTACAGGGATATTTACGCACATACTTGTACCATGATTTAATTGGGTGGTGGTTGGATTTGACACACGCAAACAGGGCTTGCAGAAGATAGATTTGATGCTCCTACTGTGAGCAGGCAAACCAATTAAATGGTAACAGATGCTGAAATAGTCTCTTAAATGACACGCCTGCTTTTAAGCACTTCCTTTGGTATTATTAAGGTTTGCAGTTTCCTTTAAAAAATTTAAAAGCATTACTTGTAAACAGCAGTTCTCTTAAGGGTCTTGAACACCACAACAGTTCTGCGTCAGTGGCTTTGACATGAAATATGTGCTCTTTGCATGTGAAATAGCTGTTATTGTCCACTAAGATTTGTGGATGATTTGCCTTCTGTATCTTGTATGGGCTTGAGCTTCACTCAGCACTGTCTTTTGTCTATAATCAGTGAATATATTCTAATTAATCAGCAGTATTAAAGGACACTGTTGTAGGCAGAAGTGCAGGTCAAACCTTGAGATGGAAAGCAACTAGCTGCAGAGGTCTTGCCAAATGTACTCATGGTCCAAAAGATCTACTAAAGGAAAGAACTAGGTAATCATAGAATTACAGAATCATTCAGGTTGGAAAAGACCTCTCAGATCCCCGAGTCCAACCCCAACCCACCCCACTTTGCCCACTGCCCACATCCCTCAGTGCCACATCCCCACAGGTCTGGAACACCTTTAGGGACGGTGACCCCAGCACTCCGTGGGCAGCTGTGCCACTGCAGCACTGCTCTGGGAAGAAATTGTTTCTAATAACAAATCTAAACCTCCCCTGGTGCAATGTGAGACCATCACCTCTCATCCTATTGCTGTCATCCGGGAGAAGAGGCCAACCCCCACCTCACCACAACCTCCTTTCAGGCAGTTGTAGAGCAATGAGGTTCCCCTTGAGCCTCCTCTTCTCCATACTGAACAACCCCAGCTCCTTCAGCTACTCCATATTATCTCTCAAAGGCTTTCACGGAGATCCTGCTCAGTATTTGACTCCATGGTATTCAAGCCATTTTTGTATACTCTCTAATATATGCAGCTCCAGTCTAAATGCAATTGTTTAGGATTGTGTGGTGGACTATAATTTTCAGATTATGTTAATGACAGGCAACAAAAGAAGTGGTTCTTTTGAATCCCATTGTCAGGCTGGCCCTCCTGTGGATTCTGAATCTGCTGGGCAGCCCTCCTTGCAGGAGGTCCTGCTCTTGAAGACACTTAACGTAAATAAGAGCGACTTACCAGGAGCAAAGATGGAGCACCTCGGGCCCAGCAAACAGGGCTGTTATTTCCCTTGGGAGTTTTCAGAAGTGCTCTTGGGAAGTAGCCACTCAACACAGTAACCATCGTGAAAGGGAGTTGAACTGAGTATTTGCATGCTAAGGAGATAGGGAGAAATAATTACACGTTAAATTATGCCAACGTACATGTTATATGTACATGAATAACAACGTAGAAGTTGTTGTTCTCTGTGCACAAAACATTCCAACACAGATACACGTTCGAATATGTATTCAGTTTACATGGCATGAATATGTTGGAAGTGTCACACATGCTTTGCTGTGTGCACGGGCTTTTGATGGACCTCGCAGCCCAAAGAACAGAGAATGTGTTATGTGAAGGTATGTGCTTCCAGGAATGCCTGCAAACTCGATTTAGTATACAATTTCACCTCTTTCAGGACCTCTGAAATTCCTGAACGGGCATGCAGACCAGTGCATTTTGCTCTAAGCAGTGTAGGGTGTTGGATCCTAGTCCTCAAGCAATGCAATGTATTCATGTTTGCAGAGTGAAACGTCTGTCATTCAGCAGCTCCAGAGCACATCTAAACAGGCCCTTTGAGTTCCTGCACATTCCCTAACAAAGTGATGAAAATAGCTTCAATGTACGTGATTGTTCAGCTTAAGTCATGATTAAAAAAAAAAAAAAAAAAAGGAAAGAAAAAAATTGTATTGCTTGTATAGGCAAGAGAAAAATGCGATTGTGTGCCATGGTGGGTTTGAGGGGCTCTTGGCTTGCCTAGCCTGGGCTTCCTGTTTGTGAAACATCTCTCTGTGCAGCCTTCCTATGGTATGAGCAGATCTGGGCAGAGAAAGCGACGTCTGTTTTCAGGAGGGATTCAAATATTTTTCAACGTGGTTCTGTTTTTATTTCAGGTGATGATTAAACTGTGCTGCATATGGGCGTTTACTGCTGCCAGTGTGACAGAGGACATGTGTAGATGTGTGCGTGAACGCTCATGTGAAATGCAGCAGTGTGAGAACACACAATTATTCAGCCTGTGTGTAGAGAAGTCTGGGATATAAAGGGGGGAGGATTAGGAGAACGCAGTGAATCATGCTGCTTGGTGAGAACTGCTGGTACGAGACTCTATATAGACACTGAACAAACTTTTCAGAAGTGTTTGTAGCAATCGTTTAGAAAGCACGATGTGTTTTTCTGCTGTTTTCTTGAAGGGTAGAACTAGAATCGCTGTGCCGCGTCTCACCCAACAGCCTCCTCCTGACTTGAGCTTCAAAACGTACTGCTCGAGGAATCCCGTGGACTGGAGAGTAATTTTCAAATTGGGAATGGCTCATTTTTGTTCCTTAAAGAGCCTTTTAGAGCAGAATATTTTACTCAAAATCTCTGTGAATGCCTGATTGTTAAGCAGGGTAGAATTTCAGCTCTTTGCGTCTCTCAGCTAAGTACTTGTCCTGTATTGTTCAATCATTTGAAGAAGTAAAACAAGGTTTAGGTTCTGTTTACTTGAGTTAAAAGCTGAGATTGCTTGACAGCTGTATGGTTGCCTCCTGTATTGCTCAATCAATGATGTAGCTGCTCTGCTAACATGGAAATGTGGAGGTTTCCAGAAGTCTTTAGCAACTGGGGTTCATGGCAGAGCTGGACACGAGGCATTAAGTAGGGAAGATGCAGCCAACACACATAGGTAGGAGGTTTAGAAGACTCTCTTATTATTTAATATCCTTAGCAAATAGCATGTGCTTTCCTTCCAGCAGCCTGCTCAAACACAGCTATAAATCACCTGCCTGCAGAAGTTAACCTTGGAGGGTGCTGAGTGCTTTGGCCAGATACAAGCTAAGTGCTGGGGTCAGGGCGCAGTGCAGCAGCAAAGCTGCTGTTGGCCTGCCTAAACATGTGGCCCTTCATGTGCTCATCCTTCGGTTTGATTTCATCCTTAGGCTTTCTCTCAGGGTTTTATGCAGTGAAGGGGAATTGTTTGTTCATGCTGTAGTTGAGGGAAACAATGAGACCTGTGCGTAGCTTTACAGATAGAACTTATTGAAACCTAGCTCAAGTATGTGCTTAAAACTGTGGTTAAATACCTAAATATGTGAAGCCTTCCTCAGCGGGGTCATTCCAGTACTGAAAATTAAGCATATGTTTAGTGTCCTCCCTGTATATTAGCCTTCAGATGATCTTTTAATCTCTTTCTAGTACCTAGAATGAGAAAGCTGGTCCCAAAAGATTTTCCTTTTCATTGCTCACAGTGGAGCAGAGAAGGTGAAGCTGAACTCTCTCCCTTTGTGCTGCACTTGTGTTAAGTTTCTCCCTTCTCTTTCTCTCCCTGACCATGCAGGAAGACACAGCACAGCTCCCTGGACCAGAGCTCCCCACCTCAAAGTGGCGTATCCGGCACCTACAATCACCCTGTCCTGGGGATGTACGATTCCAAAGATGACTTCCCACTCAGAAAAACAGGTAATGCTCCCATTGATTTTCTATGTTACCTGCTGTCTTTGCAGTGACACTTGGTCCTTACATTTCCAAAAGGAAAAAAAAAAAAAAAAGAAGAAGAGTATGTTGCCAAAAAGCTGTATTTCATGGAGCAATTTATTTAAGAAGCGCTCACACCACCCCACTCTCCTCTCCCCCTTCCAGCTGTCACTGAGCAAGCAGTGTTAGAGGGAGGCTTTGGTTGTGCAGGTTTGCAGAGCTACATGCAGAAGACAGCTTCGTTGTGTGTCAAAGCTTGTGAGATGTTTTCACAAAGTCAAAACTAATACAGAGATCTGCGTGTCTGAAGTCAAAGTATGTTTTGCTGAGTGAGAAAAGTACCAAGAAAAGTTCATTTCTTCTGGGATTTGCATTTTATATACAAGTTTATACTTTAAATAAATAAAAACGTTTCTGCCAGTCAAAGTGTAGGGACTTCCTGCAAAGGTTTTGGTTCACACCTAGACAGTTATTTCTCAGTTAGGTTTCTCTCTGCATGGTGGCTAAGCAAGTCAGTTATTTCTCAGCTATATATTATGTAAACCAGTTTGTTTTGTTTGGCTGTGGTCCTCAGCTCCATATCACATGCCTTGGCCAACACAGCCTCAGCTTCTAACCTTGCAGGCTTGTGATCCTCAGCAGCCAGCTCTCTTCAGGAAGGAGCCAAGCTGCAACAAGCTCACCCCAATCTGGGGAGCTCTGCTGCTTGCATGGATGATGCAGATGGTGGTGCATGTTGAAAATTGCTTCAGAATAGGAAAATCCTGTCTTGACTGAGCTTTGCGTGGCCTACAGGTGCTTCTAGCTGTTTCTCAGGTGTGTTTTGTGGACCTTTAAATGTACTGGGATGAGCACTGGCTTTTGTGATCGTTGTGGTCAGGAATGGTGGTGGTATGTTAACCAGACCTTTCTGTGGATTTACTACAGCCTTTGGTCAAATTGGCTGTCCTAAATCAGTTTCCAGGAGCTGGCTGCACCTCCATTTCCTTCTAGGAGAGGCATAGATATTCTCACAACATTTCTTCTCCTAATAGTTGAAAGTCAAGTGGGTCTTATGTGTCCTCATCATGATTCTCATTATCTCTGTAAATTGATGTGAAGGTGGATTATTCTATTTGTTTTTTTTTTTCTTCTTTTGTCATCTGACTAGAAAAACATAACACTTGTACACTGCTGCTGCCCTGTGCCTCCTGCCTCCCAGGTCTGTGCCTTTGAAGGCGTTTTATGAACTGCTTCCACACCATAGTACCTGTCCTGCTGGGTGGATCTGTGGATGAATTCCTGGCTGCCACTCAGTAGATGGTTTTCCCAGTCACTAGGCATGCTGGGCTGGGTGGCAGGTACCAGACACAACAACTTAAGATGGGGAAGTCCTTCCCAGGGTGAGGGCTCTTCCTTTACACACCTTGTGCCTTCAGGGTAAGTGACAACAAGAAAGCAGGCCCTTTCTGCAGGACTCCAAAGGCAGAGAGGGAAACAGAATTTGCTGAAGTGTAGGGCATCTTCTAATCTCCATTTCTAGATAATGACAAGCCAAACACTGCGTTAGGTGCAGCATCTGCTGCTGCCTAGTCAGTGTTAGAGACAGCCAAAGTGACGCTGTCTGGGCCTCAGGACTTGTCCTTGCATGGAGGAGATGAGTGCTGCTGGAGGGCTGCCCTCAAAGCAGATTTCCTTCAGTTCTGGAGCTGTCAGCACACAAAGATGTGCTTTGCATACACATCTGCCTGGAAGAAGGAAGACCGGTCCTGGGCTGCTAGCATCCACTGATGCCATTTGCTTCTTCTCTGCTGAAGGCTGTCAGTCTCCTCTGGAAATTCACAGCATGTCCTCACAAGGAAGTGTCCCTTGCCATCATATCTATTGCACAGGGCTTGTGGACAGCACAAATCCAAAGACCTTTCTGCTCTTTTGAAACCAGAACCTCCACTTTGGGGGAGTTCATGTTAGCAACCCCATGGCAGAAATGGTCTTTTATCAAAAACCTCTCTCTCTTTAGGGCCATTTCTTGCCAGTTTTAATTTGAAGGTAGATCATCCTTCTCACTGCAAATGCCGTAACAGTGGATTTCTGCAGAAGAAAAGAGTATCTGAACATACTCCTGTTGTTTCCTAGACTGAGTTCTGATTAAGCCTCTGGCTGATAAAACTGCTGTCAGACAGACTGAATTAAAGAAGATAAACGTATCTAATGGCATTATTAAAAATCATTGTTGTTTTAAAATAGGAGGATAGTTAGCTGATTTTGTTTTTCCAGAACACTGATGCTTATTCTCTGTGGGCACTGGCATTAATCTTCTGGGGATTTGTATGCAGTGCATGCAAGTTCCCTTGCAAGGTTCAGCGGAGACCTTTTTTGTTGTTTTCTTTTATTTTCTTTTCAATGTAACAGCAGTTCAGACTCTAACACAGTGATATCCTGCAGAAACCCCACTGCCAAGAATGTTAAGTTGCTTGGACTCCTGAACAGCCTGGTGTAAACAAAAGGCAGGGAAGGCTGGAGCCCATCCTAAATAAAGTTCTTTATTACAAGTGAGCTTTTCAGATTTTTGGCACCAGTCAAAACTCTGGCTTTGTATTTGTAATTTAAAACCGCCATATCATGTAGTCCAATTTTATTAAATTAGATTAAATATTTGCAGTTCAAATAACAGAGTCCATCACAGCACAGTTGTGATTAGCAGGGCTGGCATCAATCCAGTGTCATTGTTAGGGACGGGGGGACTCGGGACGCTGCAGGAAGGCACTTGGAGCAGTGATTTCTGCTCGGGTACATTTCTGGAGTTGGCAGCATGTTCTGCATGTTGAGAAATTGTTCAGAAAGAATGAACCTGTAATTGCAGTGGGTTTAAAAGTGCTACCCTTCTTCGCTCCGATTACTTAAAGCATTGGGACGTGGAGTGATGTATAGCAGCCCTCTGTGCACCCCTGGGGATCGCTTGGTAGTGGAACACTCAAGTGTGAATGTTGCATAAGAGACGTGATCAGCTGGCCACGCTCTCTTGAGTAGAAGTACATGTGTGCATGAGCAGTGTCCTAAGAGTGCTTGGAAACAATCAGCATGTGAAACAGCAGACACTTGCAGCATGCTCCTAATGCATCCTGCCACCTGAAATCCCACCCCCTCTGGTTTGTTTTACCAAATTACGTCCTGCTTTGTTGGCTGTTCAGGTTCTGCATGAGGTTGTTGCTGCCAGGCTCTGGCTGGTGCAGTTACCAGAGGCCTGAACTTGCATTTAGCCTGGCTGCAGGGTGTGTTTCACTGAGTTCTCTCTAGCTGAACCCTTTGTGGCTTTCCCCTCCTTAACCGAACTAAGAATAGTTTGGCTGATGCCATTCATGCTTTTCTCCTTTTGCTTTAAATAACTTAAGACAAGGATTTCTTATTTCCCCATTTGTGTAGTTTCCTTAACTACGTATATGCATGCTTCCTTTGCTGTATGCACGATCTTGACATGCTATTAATTAGAAAGCTGGAATGACCTACATCACAAGGATTCATGAAAGACTGAAGAGCATTGTTTAACTTGTTGACATGATTTTTCTTTTGCTTGCGTGCGGTTTTTTCTTTGCTTGTTTTTTAACATGCCATGCAGGGTTTGGCCATGTTCTATCAGACACTAGCTTTCCTTCTGGCTCTTGCAAAGGGGCGAGGATTCCTCACATTCTTTGGGACTTGACAGCTAATCAGGATTTCTAATGGAAGCCACAGCATTTCAATTAGCTGTCACTGAAATCAGTGGTTTTGCCAAGCACAGCACCTGCTAGACTTGCCTGGCCAACATGCATTCAGCTCTCTGGGATGCATGAACTGGAAACATCTCCCTGTCTGTGGATCTATATTTAAACCTGACACCAAAGTGGGGAAAAAAACCATTTCTTCAACGAGCTTATAAAAGATGCTCTGCAAAACTGTAAGCATGAATGTGCCTGCATCCGCAGGAATCATCCAGGCAGGCTGTGAGGCAGGCCTCGGTCTCACCGTGGTTTTGCTTCTGCTGTTTGATAAGGAGTAAGGGACTGCTGCTTGGTGTGCTTGGCTCAGACCCTGCAGCCACTGTCCCCGTTCTGTGGAGAATCCAAGGCTCTGGCTCTTGCTTTCTGCTTTGCTTCCAGCCTGACTACTGGCTGCTTTGGTGCGGTGATGATCAGGATGAGCATGGAGACCTTAGAGAGGCAAGGGATTCCTGTGGTCCCAAGTGTGTTTGCACTGCAGAACCATGGAGTAGCGTCGCAGGGTGTGAATTTCCACTATTTCCAAAGCCAGTCTGAATGTAATGCCAGACTGGGAGCTTACAAAGACATCTTTGGCAAATATCTGTCTCTCAGTTTCCTGGCCAGGTAGTAAATGAGCATGTGCATGTGTGTGGTGTGTACTTGGGGAGAAACGACAACGGGGAAGTGTCACAGGCCCCTTTTTCAGCTACTATTCAGAAAAAAAAACAGGGATCCTGCACAACAACTCAGTTCCCCAGCAATGTCTCTTGACAGACAAGGGAGAACTGGTTCTAAGTCAAGTACTGTGTCTTGGGGCTTGTGGTAAAAGCAGGCTGTCCTTAACCTTCACAGCCCACTCTTCTCCAAGGAGAAATTTGTGGCTCAGCATTGTCAGGTGTTGACTCAGCTTGTGCACCTCTTTGCTGCAGTGACTTCTTTCCAGGAGCAAAGCAAGGCAGCAAATAGGGAGCTGCTCCTTAGACTTCCCCGTGGGTAGCACGGGTGGAGGGCCACAATGGCTGCTTGTTTTCTTGTCCTTCAGCAGCTTCTGGGAGATGCCACAGAGGGAATCTGAGAAACGCATCACCCGTGCTGATCCCAGCAACCACTCCCTAAAAGGGAGTTAGGTGTTGTGCTGCTGGATCAAGATGGATGCTGGTAAGGAGTATGAAGGAGGAAGGCATCCAGCATCCCACCCTGGGTAGCCTAATTCAGTGGGTGGCAACTCTGCCCTTGGCAGGGGTTGAACTGGATGGGCTTAAGGTCCTT